TTGAATTCTGAAGGCTTTATAAGCACCCTGCTTTCTAATTAACAGTGAGTGTAAAGTGTTCATAAAATAAAACGTAGTCTGACAAATATTAACCATGCATATTAGGGAATATTCAGTATCAATCTAGGTTGCCTCTGTTTTTCCTCCTTCCCTCAAAGATAAGATTTATATTGTACAAGATTTAGCAGAATGTATGTATAATTTGGACAAAAACTTCCCTGAATACCAATATTACTTTATATAGTAGTTACAGGATTTTTAAATGCCAGTGAGTTCTGTTTCCTTTGTGTGAATTTATGAATGTAATAAAATACTTTTGAAAAGCTAATCAAATAGAACAATCTAAGATTCAATTATCAGCTCTTTAAAGATTTTATGAACCAGATCTTCTCCATTGCCAGAATCACTTAGAAGACTGAGGAATCATAGAGTCCTCTTAAATTTTTTATTTTGTTCTTAGAATTAAAAAAGTGTCATATGTGTATATATTTGTATACTCACAGTTAAAAAAATAAGCATAAAATAAGCATAAAACTTGAAATGAAAATTGAAATGAAAAATTTCAATTAAAAATGCTCAAATCTCTACAACTCAGATAAAATTGGTATTAATATTTTGGTAGCTATTCTTTTAGACCTCTCAGTATACATATATACATACTCATGCAAATACCTAATTTTGCATAAAAAGATTAATACAATATGTGACAGTCTGTTACTTATCTTTTAGGACTAGACATTTTTTCTATCCACTTTTTTTGTTGTTTTCACATCAATAAATAGATATGTACAACATGATTTTTAATTGTTAATGCCATGTATATACATATACTGTATACAACACATATATGTGTGTGTATGTATGTGTGTAATACTTTAACCTATTATAGATATTTAGATTGCTTCTTTGCAATCATGATATGGTTTAACCATTCTTGCACATTAATAATTTTGCACCTGTACAATTATATTCTTAAGACAAATTCCTAGAAGTCTGAATGCTGAGGTAAAAGGTAAATGTTGACGTATATTAATTCCCAAGCTGTACTCAAGACCTGTTATCTCAGTTCAAACTCCCACTAGCAAATTGATAAAGTGCTTGTTTTCTCACACTTTCCCAATATTGGATTTTGTCTTTTCTTAAAAATAGACAAGTAACCCCAAATTCTGTCATTATTTTAAAATTTGCATCTCTTTGATTACAAATGAAGTTGTACATATTTTCAAGTACTTATAGGATATTCTTATTTCTTCTTTGTTTAATTGCTTCAGTATTTTATTGGGATGGTTGTCTTTTTCTTACTGACCTATAAGAGGTCTGTGAGTGTTGAAATTTGCTGTTTGGATCCCAAGTTTATCATTTGACTTTTAACTCTGCACATAGTGACTTTTAAATCAAACTAAACATCATTTACTTGTTCTGTTTTTGTGTATTAAATTTTTGTCAAAAATTTTTAATAGGTCATCTTATAGTTTCAAACTTTTGTATTATGTTTAAGAGTGACCTTTGTCCTTTCAGGATTGCAGAAATACCCGTAGTTTCCTCAAAGTAGTCTTGAGGTTCAATTTTTTTATATGTTAATGTTTGATCCATCTGGGATACATTTTTGAATAAGGAGAAAGAGTAGCCAGTTTTATTTCTATCTCAATTGCTAGCCAGATGCTAGATTTCATGAATATCCAACCTTTTACCACTGACTTAAAATGACTCATTTTCTTATATTAAATTACCTTTTAGCTGAATCTGTTTCTGGAATGTATTTTGTTTTATTGATCTGTCTATTTCTGAATGATTATTATTGAGTTTTTATTTCTGTGGCTTTATGCTATTATTGTTAATAGGGTAAGTGTCCTTTAATTTTAATTTTAATTTTTTCCTTCTTTTTTTTTGGGTTTTCTGTTTTTGACTATTTGCTTGATGAACTTAAAAATCATTTGGTCAGAATAACAAAAGCCCTACTTAGGTATTTTTAGATTGAGGAAAAATTGGCACTTTTATAATACTGAGTTTGCTTATTTAAAAAAAAAAAACTTTTCTCCCATGAATTCAAGCAGTCTCTTAAATCTTTCAGTAGCATTTTATGTTTTCCTCATATACGCCCTGTCATTTAAAAAGATTTTTTAGATATTAATTTTTTGATTGTTGCTGTGAATGGAATCATTTACTTCTATAATATATATCAAATTGTTAACTGTTTTTTTAAAAAGGCTATTTACTTTTGTTTATTTTATTTCCAGACGCTTTGCTGAGCACTCATATTTTTTTCTAATCATCTTTTACTATGATTTTAGTCTTCAAAACTCTTACCAAGTGGTACCCAGGAGTCTAAAGAAGTGAATATAACTCCTCTACTCTAGGATGTGACTAGAGACGATTAGAGAATGGAACCTAAAATAGGGCAGTTTATGGAATATACTTTGTACATCCAGGAAGGACTGAATATGGGCTAATCCCCATCACTGAAATGTAATATAAGTCGGACTAAGTATCTTAGAATGAATAAGCATGCTATTATGAGATAATTTCATATTCTGAGATGTTCTTTGGTACTCAATTAATTAATCTGTCTAGATTAATCTTTATGAATCTCATATACTTTATATGAGCAGGAAAAGCCTAATTAAACCTAAAGATGTAAGTCCCTGTTTGAGTAAGGAAAATGTGAAGGATGGAAGGGAAAGCTGAACTGACTTCTTCAAAAACATAACTTTACCAGATTAATCCCACAAATATATGTAACGTCTTCTTTTGCAGACAGTAGTCCTAATTTCTCCTTCCAGTAAAACACCTATTGCTCTAACTCCCCACCATCCCAATCCATGCCCCCAGTAGGTGTGAGATGGCATGGCAGTGCCATCTGGTGGCCACCTAGGGAAATGTCTGAACTACTCTCTTCCTGTTGGACCTCCAGCCTGGGTGGGTATCTTGGAAGCCAGATCCAAGGCTGGGAACACTCAGCTTATGCCTGTGGTTACAGGCCAAGAAGGGAGAAAATAAAAGTTCACATCCTGGAAAAGGCTGCCTGAGGGAGCTGGGAAACAAGGAAGGAGCCAAGAGGCTACGTCCCTAGGAATTGAGAGACAGCAAGAATGAGGTCCAAAAAGTAAGGCCTACAAAGGAGTTCCAGCAAGAGAGATGCGGAGAGCTCCTGAGCTAAATCAAAGAAAGTGAGGGCCCCCCTCCTCCCCCCTCTTTTTTTAAAAATGAAACGTCTGCATTCACCCTTGAGGCAGGGATCAACTTAGTTGTGGGTTTCCAGTCAGTTCCAACGCTTTTCCACTCCCCGTTTCCCTTCTCCTGCTCTTCCTAGCCCGCCTCCCCTCTTCTTCCCTTGCTCCCTCCCTCCTACTCCTTGACTCTTTTTCCTTCCTTTTGAGCTCTTATTCTTGGAAAAACTTTTCTTTCTCATCCTTCATTCTATTTGGGAGCCCAAAACATAATCCTACTTACAGCTGATAAACCTAGGATAGTGCTTGTGGGCGAATCTATCAAAGAAAAGGGAAGGTAGAGGTTGTGAAATGAAGAGCCAGTGCCACTGACGCCTTAATCCTCAGAAGGGAACGGAGATTCCTTCAGCATTACCACAAGGCTCAGTCCTCCCACTGCACCCCTACCTGATTTCCCCTGTTCTCCCATTCAGAGTTTTGTCTCTGATTCACTGCCATACCCCCAACACTTAAAGCAGCACGGGGCATATAGAAGGAGCTCTCTCAATGTTTGTTGAAGGAATGGATAAATATTCTCAATGAATAAGCAAATCTGTCTCATTCCTTTTATTGTATTTCAATTTTGCCTTGTTTTAAGTGTCACAATGATGCTAGTTTTCATTGTGAAAGCATGATTTTAGACTTTTGTAGAACAATTTAAGCATAACACATGAGGCTATTTCTAGCACAAAAATAATTGTTTTTTAAATTCCAGCCTGACAGACCTTCAGAAAATACCTGTCGAGAAGCTGGAGACTCTCTATACCTTTCCTTTCAAGACTGTATTTTTTACATACATACATGAAGTAAAAACCAACAAAATGATCAGCTTTGACTTGTCTTGGTTTCTCAAGTGCTCTTTGCATCCTTCCCCAAATAGAAGTTAAGACCATTAAATACAGAGGAGAAAATGAATTTGGAAAGCTGGAAGGTATTATGCCTTTGGCAAACATCTTGCTTTGTATGTTTTCTCTGTTTGCTGAGTCTCTTTTGCATTGTAAATCTTTGATAATAGAGATGGAGAGATATTTATTCTCTATATAGAACTAAGCACAGAAAAACTGTTTATTTTATCTAATATTTTTCAGAACTATGCCCTTTCTTGTGATCGTTCTCATAAGAGGAGAGATGAGGTAGGCTGCTTTTATTTTAGAGATTGTTCCTCTGACATTACTCCTGTGTGAGAATTTTCTGGGAGTAAAAAAATGATCACTTGCTACTTTGCATTCTAAAACTCTAGGATTTCCTAAAGATCTCACACATCTCTGAGACCTTAAAGGAATGCTTTTGCTAGAGTGCAAAGAGGAAGTTAAAATGAATCAAAAGCTGTCCTGAGTTAAGACAACCCAGGAGATCAGTGGGTGTCCAGTGTCAGAGTGTGGCTGACCTTGCTTAATTTGTGAGGATCTGTCACCACAGCCCACATCAGGCTACACATTTATTTCTGGCTGACTTTAATGGCAGGGGATCTGTGTTTATTCTTCAGTTCATTGACTATATGGAATACAAGAAGCTTCAAGGTATGAGAACAGCATGAACTAGCATTAAAGAGAGGGCTCTTAGATGGAATCCTGGCAGTGACTTTAGCAGATGGTGTGTCCTGGAAGACAATAGGTAACATCTCAGAGCCACAGTATACCTTTCTGCAAAATGGCAATAATGATACCTAACCAGAAGGGCTGTTGTAAAGAATGGAGCTGCTAAGTGTAAAGCCTCGCGCCTGGCTAGTAGTGCCTCCTAGTTGATCAGTTGTGGTCACAGTACTCATGTTGTCTCTTTCCCTTTCCGGTCTAGGTACCTTGGGATCACAAGGCCACTAACCTACCCCGTGAGGCAGAATGGGAAATGCATGGCGAAAATGATTCTGTCCGTCTGGCTTCTTTCCGCCTCCATCACTTTACCCCCACTTTTTGGATGGGCTCAGAATGTAAATGATGACAAGGTGTGCTTGATCAGCCAGGATTTTGGCTACACGATTTACTCCACCGCAGTGGCATTTTATATCCCCATGTCCGTCATGCTTTTCATGTACTACCAGATTTACAAGGCTGCCAGGAAGAGCGCTGCCAAACACAAGTTCCCTGGATTCCCCCGCCTGGAGGAGCCAGACAGCGTCCTCTCCCTGAACGGTATGGTGAGGCTCCAGAAGGAGGTGGAGGAGTGTGCAAACCTTTCGAGACTCCTTAAACACGAAAGGAAAAACATCTCCATCTTTAAGCGGGAGCAGAAAGCAGCCACCACCTTGGGGATCATAGTTGGGGCCTTCACCGTGTGCTGGTTGCCGTTTTTCCTCCTCTCGACAGCCAGACCCTTCATCTGCGGCACTGCCTGCAGCTGTATCCCGCTGTGGGTGGAGAGGCCATTTCTGTGGCTGGGCTATGCAAACTCTCTCATTAACCCTTTTATATATGCCTTCTTCAACCGGGACCTGAGGACCACCTATCGCAGCCTGCTCCAGTGCCAGTACCGGAATATCAACCGGAAGCTCTCAGCTGCAGGCATGCACGAGGCCCTGAAGCTGGCTGAGAGACCCGAGAGACCCGAGTTTGTGCTGTAAGGTCATTTATCACTATTTTCCTTTTATTCCCCCCAACCCTTTTGTGGAACTTCTTGAAGGGTATTACAGAAAACTTTCTCATCAGTAGCTAGCTTATCTTCTGCTAAGTATAGCAGGTTTGATTTCAGAATACTAGAGACTTGAGTGCTCCACCCAGTAGAATTCTGAAAGGCAAAGATAGGTACTTAGTTGGATGGGAAGAGGAGACTGATTCACTGATGAATTGCAATTGGTGTAATTGACCACAAGGAAAGTGATGTTTCCCCTTCTTGCTCCATAAATAACATCTAAACTATGTCCAGATGTCTCCAATTGTTGTAACATTATCATTTTCATTGCTTACTTTTACATCCCGTAAAACTTTTTTGATTATCTCATCCTTCACTGATAAATATTTCTTTGAAAAAGGAAGCAAATTCACAGGCTGAAACTAAGTAACCTGACACAAGGGAGAGTGGTTGGTGTGGGGAGATGCCAGGATGTGGCAGGCTTGAAAGCATCAGAGCCTTCAGGAAGTGCTGCCCAGCTTCTCGGGAGCTGACACCTGGGAGTGCTGAGCTTGTCTAGCAGGCACCGGTGACTCTACAGGAAACCGTTGCAGTAGGGTGTTGGGGTGTGACAAAGGATGGCAAAGGGCCAGTGATGATGAGCACATGTGTGTTCCACATGTAACCCACATATTAATGAATTTGCATTATATAGAAGGAATGAGAGTGTTGTAATTAGAGTTGTAAGCAGGTCAAGTGAAGATTTTTCTTTGAGTTTGAGGTAGGGGAGACATTGCCATGTTTGAAAGCTCATGGGAAAGAAACTTTAATGGGAAGATGGAAGATGCTAGTGAGAGAAAGAGAGCAGATCAGTGCTGGATGTGAGAAAGGAAGCATTTCTCTTTGGTGAACCTGGTGGGAAGGAATAGACCACAGAACTGTAGGCCTCTGTAGCAGGAGAAGTGCTTCTGGTATCCCCAGTTTTCAGAAGAGTGAGAGACTCAGTTGCTTAAAATAACTTACCTAAGATCACACAGCTCCTAAGTAGTAGATGTGGTCTACATCACACTAGTGCATGCTCTTAACTATCATTCACACTGCTTGACAAATGATTTCCATCTGTAGGCAGCAAAGAGCCACTGAATATTGTTGAACTGGGGACTGTAATAATCAGTTCTCTAAGAAGACCATTAGAAAAACCTATTAATAGAAGTAAGTGACGTTTATTAGTCTTACTGCAGTATAGAGGACACTTCCTTGACAGAATCTTGATAGTTTCTTAGATGAAGGAAATAAGGAAAGAATATTGATGGTGTTTTAGGACTTGGGCTAGTGACTTTAAAGTGGGGAACTGGTGAGGCCCTAGCTCAGTGGCTTTGGATTGGTGGATACAGCTCTGTGAGGGCCTTGAAGCAAGTATTTATGAGCAAACAATTAGTGTGGATAAGTAAGCTGTGTTAGTTGGTCTGCAGCCTTATCTTTTGGAGCAGCTATTTCCTGGAACAAGCAGCTAGGTTATTTATTCCTATAAACCTGATCCAGAGCTTCTTAGCACAGGAACAAGAAAGCATGTTGGTTTCACTTCTCGGGAGTAATGTGCAGAGAGACATATTGAAGGAAAGTCTCTCTGGCAGCAGTGAGAAGGGCAGATGAAATAGGAAGACTGGTGGCAGGGGGTCTAGTTCATCAGCCAGTATAGAACCTGGGAAGAACAGATGAGGTCCTGAACTGGGAAATGCCACTGTGTTCAGGCCCTTCCTACAGTCAGAGAATAATCTTATTGATTATTTTTAGCTTATAATTCACACATAATTCAAGAGTTCATAAAATGCTAGTTTTTCAAATGTCACATAAACCAGGTTCTCCAGTGAAAAATAGTAATATACCATGTTTATGAAGATTCACTCTCAGGCACTGTGCTAAGCAGACGGTGTGAATTCTGTCACTTAATCCTTAAGACTTAATGAGAGGTTGGTTTTCTTCATCTCCATACAAGATGACAAAACAAGACCTGGAGAGATTGAATAATTGTCCCAAAGTCATATATGCGGAGGGTAATAGAGCTCGATTTGAGCCCAGGAAATCTGTGTTCAAGTGCTTTCAATTTCCACACTTCCATGCCTTTTATAGAAGCACATCAGCTAACATAACATCCAACAGTATTTGCCTCTGTGTCTTTAGCTTATGTGGAGACTTGGTATTGCTTTCCTATTAGTCTAAGACAGGGGGTTCAGCAAACTTTTTCTGTGAAGGGCCGGATAATGTATATTTTAGGCTTTGCTAGCTATAGGTCTCCACTGGAACTACTTATCTCTGCCTTTGCAGTAAGAAAGCAGTCATGGACACAAATAACCAAAAAAGTATAGTAGCATACCATACTGGATTTGACCCACAGGTCATAGCTTGCTGTCCTCTGGTCTAAAAAAATGACTGTCACTTCATGATCTCTCTCTCTCCATTTGAATTTATAGTTGTAGACTAATAAAATCATTTGGGATGGCTGGCTTAAATATCCATTAAATTCAGGAAATCTCTAATGAGACAGTTGGAATAGCTGCTATTTTTTAAATTCTCTATACCAGGAAGCTTTCTAGTCAGTTCCAGTGTGGGAAAACTCATTTTTAAATCCTTGTCTATAACTGCTATGAATTGAGGAGGATATAGGAAACTCCTGATGTCTTTCCTGCCCCAGTACATATATTCCTGCTGGAAAGAACATACATAAACAGACACATGTGCACATTAGCCCTTTCTCTAATAACACAGAAAAGTGGGGACAGGAAATGCTTATAAAACTCAAAGGAGAGGAAAATAACTCAGAGCTCACCTAACCCTGGTCAGGGAAGACTTCCTGAAGGATATGGGGTCACGTGTGTCTGTGAAGGTGGCCAGAGCACTTATAACTAGAGGAAAGTAGAAGTGGCTTTCCAGGTGAAGGGACCAGTGTGGGGCCTTGTGAAGAGGACAGTCAGGCTGAGACTAAGCATGTGGAGGAAGGTTTAAAGATCACAATGAAAATGCAGGATGAAATTAAATTATAAAGGATCTTCTATTCCAGTCCCAGGAATTTGGGATGAAGTGTAGACAAGTGGCTCTCAATCAGGGGTGATTTTGCTTCCAGGGGACATTTGACAATATCTGGAGACATTTTTAGTTGCCACAACTGGGGGAGGGGGAACCTAATGCATCCAGTAGGTAGAGGCCAGGGATGCTGCTAAACAGCCTATAAAACATGGCAGCCCCCAGCACAAAGAATCACCTGGCCCAAGAGTCTACAATGCTAAAGTTGAGAAACCCTAGTATGGACATTAATTAGTAAGCCATTGATCAATCTCTGCAAGTAGGAGAATGGAACCACCAAGCCATGAAGACTGATTTAGTGGCACCGTGTGGGATACCTCAGAAGGCAGAGGCTGAAAGAAAACAATTTTTTCATTGGCTTGTTTTCTTCAGACACGTTTGATCAAGCCTACCACCTATAAGGCATGGTGGCAAGCATGGCAGGGGATGGAAAGATGAGTGAGCGACAGTCCTTGCCTCTGGAAGCTCACTGTCCAGGGGGCCAGGGCAGTGGGGGCAGCTAATAAATAACCAGGAACCAGAATACCCCACACAGTCCCCATGCTTCGTGGTTGCATTCAACCAAACACCAGCTGGGTAACTGAAAGCAACTTGTACTGTACTAAAATCTCTGAGAGAATGAAGGGTGTCTGGTCCATGGCTCCCAGCAAACCTCGGACCCTCTGTTGCCCTGTCTCCCCAGTGCTCGCATGTGGAGCGGCCTGGGCACTCAGGGCTGCTCCCTCCAACCTCATCACCCTTGCTCCCCTCTGGCTGCTTGGGTTCTAGGCTCTTTTCCTTTTGTCCCTAACGTGGCTCTATTTTTTTCTCCTATATATTTGTTCTCTTCTTTTCCTGTGTAGACACGTTACTAGACTATATATTGCTACTTCCAAATATTTATCCATTTCTTCCCAATTTCTTGAGCAGCATAATTAGAGGCTCATGAGTCCATCAGGCACTCAGCAAGCTTCCTTGAGGCAGGGCGTGGATCGAGGGAGGAGCCTCTAAACACTTCTGGGTAATTTCAGTTCATTAGCCTAAATAGTAATCTTTGTCACTTTTTCTTTCACAAGTATTCAAATACTGATAATTTAAAACCAAATGTGGTTATGTGATATAAGCAGGGATTCTATTTTTTCTGTTTAATTTGACGGCTTTATAGATTTGCTTTGAATTGCTTAAATTGCTTTGAAGTGTCATATTTTGATGATTTGTTCCTTGACACCATTATTGTGAACAGTATTGAAAAGCAGTTCCTAAAATGCCTCCATATAAAAGAATTTCATTAAATTGTTCCGAAGTAGCTCTTCTTTTCCCCCTCTTTCCTACTCCTTGGAGACTGTATTGTCTTTCTCTTCAAAGAGCTTCTCCTGCTCCCTGTCGGTTGCAGTGCTTGAGCCTTAGCAGAGTAACTTGGGTTCCTGCCAGGATTTCTGTCAATATGCTGCTCCAGAGTTTGTGCTAACTCTTTGGATGTCAGGGTGATTCTACCTTTCTTTTATGGAAAATGCTGATTAAAAAAGTAAAACAATAGGGGCCTCAGTAGAAATTGGAAGAAAACATTAAGGCTCTTGGAGCCCCGGTGTCTATGGTAGGATTTTGCTATAAAGCCAGAAATAAAGAGTTTGCTGTTTCTTGGATTTTTTTCCCCCATGACAGTATTTTCCTCATCATTAACTGGCTGGAATTCAGCACTTTATTTTTATTTAATCATCAGTTAGTAATAATAATAGCTTGTTTACTTCATATTTTGCAGTTGTCTATATTTTAACTTTGGAACTTTCCTCTCTTGAGGAAAGGCAGAAAACTGACCTTTCTTGGCTTTTCTAGTATTTTTTGTTTGTTTTTTTAGTGGATAATGAATACACATAGCACAAAACAAAATCAAGCAGTACAGATGGATATACAAGAAAAATAAGCTTTGGAGGGGATGGATGTCTTAGGGAGAAAATATCCATGGTGGAAATCATGGAGGAAGAAATTTGGGGGTAGGTCTTGAATAAAGAGTAGGACTTTAACCAGAAGGGGTGGAGGTGGGCTTGGGGCTGCTCAAAGCAGAGGGAACAAAGGGGCATAGAGGTGGATGAAGGTAGACAAGGAACCTGGGGTGTGTCTTTAGCAGCCCCTGGAAGCTGGGTGGATTGGGGTCAGCATGGAGTGCTGGCAGGCAGCGTGGGTGGGAGGAGAGATGAAGGCTTTTGAGCAGGAGTGAGACCAGGACTACAGCATAAACAGAGGTTCGTAATAGGGGAGGGGAGATGGGCTAGGAGACCAATGCAAAGCAAGGTCTCTTGTCAGGAGGGCCAGGGCTAGGAGGGTACCACTGAGGCCAGGGAAGAGGCCACGGGTGTCTGGACATTTGGGAGTTGACTAGCAGGTGGGTGGTGAGGCAAGGGAGACAGGAGCTGGTGCTGCAGCTTGAGGCCTGGAGGGGTTTAGTGCAGTTCATGACCTGTACTAGCAGAGCCGCAGTCAACCTCCTTCATTCTAAGAAGAGGCAGAGCCCCCAGGCTAAGAATATGTGTAGGCACCATCTGGGACACCACCTGTTTCCAGTGTCCACTCCCAGACACAAGGAGCCTGGAGTCCTGGGTCTGAGTGGAAGCATGGTGCTTCTCCTTAGATGCCACAGTGTGAGGTAAGGGACAGAGAGAGGTGGTTTCTTATGGAGAGACTGGTCCTGCCACAAGGAAAACCATCTGTCAGGTCTTGATAACCAAGTGAGAGGGGCATTTTCATTGACCAAGACTTTTCCCTGATTTGTGCCACTTCTGTAAATCCAAGAGGAAGGAAGTGAGGGAGGTGGGGTTTCTTGGTCTGCACGCAAGGCTTCCTAGTATGCACTCTCCTGCATGTGAAGGGGAGACCGCTTCTCATTAGCAGTCATTGTTATTCTTTTTAGTTAGGGCAAGTGTAATAGTATTTTGCAAAGATTCTTGAAAGTAGAGCCATTTTTGGGTACACCTATATTATAAAAGTGAATTTTGAAGTGGGTCATCTGGGGATGATTTGCAAATAAATTGAGGTTCTGGCAACCAATAGAAGGGATAAAATTTATGAAAAGAGACACAACACTTTTTCTTTTTCTTTAGAGATGCTCATAACTCCTGAGAAGCCACAAATTATACAAATTCCTGAATGCTGTGAATATTAAATCCACCCACCACAAAATGAAAACTCATGTTAACAGTTCTGCTAAGTCATTTTCTTGTCTACTCTCTCTGTCTCTCTCTCTCTCTCTCTCTAGGCAAAACTCTGACTACTGTAGAAAAAAAAGTCATGATTCATGATCGAAAGTGGATTAATGGAGATGAAATAAACAAGGCAAGATAGAGGTGGAAACAACGAAATCATTTGCTGAGACTGCAGAATGGAATGCAGCTTCTGTCCTTTCTTGATGACTTAAACATGACAAGCAGGGTGATCTGTTGTACAAAGTATATTATGAGGGAGATGGTGACCTCTCCTTTTTTCCTGTGGCTCAGTGCTGTTGTGTGCAAATGCACGCAGTTCTCCGTGTAGGACAGCCAGATCAGCTCCACAGTAAGTGCAAGAACAGAACTGAGTTCCAGAAAGGAAACAGTTTCCGGTGCTTATGTCCACATCCATGCAAGTGGAAGAAAGTTTCATTGCACACTTCCTGTGCTTCCAAGTCTAGGCATTGTGGTGAATATTCAGGAATCATTCATGAGACAGAATGTATTTTACTGTAGGAACAGAAGAGTGTTTTTCTAAGCAAACTGCAGTAAGCATAGTGTTGAATATGTTGCATGTCCATGTTAGAAAACAGAATCCTGTCATCAGCTAATACAAATGATCTCCCAGAGCAGTGTCTGTTTAAAGCGTCTGTCAAATAGTTCAGCTTTTTGCAGGGTCCCTGTGACTTCCCTACCAACGTACTTCCTTTGTTAATGTACTCACTGTTATGGCATATCTCAGGAACAGATCTCAGGATGGAGAGAATCATAAAACCTGACTGCAGCTTTCTCTTGCACTCACTTCTTCTGAGGGGTCCTGCAAGGTGACCGGACTCCTTCTGTGAGGATTTTTACCTGGATGAAGAGCGAGTGCCCCCTAAATGTACTGTATGTTACCATGGTTTTTGGCACAGAACTTTTGACTATTGTTCACACACAGGTGCAGTGGGCTCACGGGCTGGTCCATAACTATGTGTTTTTCTGGAAGGATGGGAATAAAGGGGTTTCCCTAAAAACCTGTGATGCTTCTGGGATGGAACATCAACGTGTTAGCTCTCATTGCACAGCACTGTATTAAACCAAATTGTGTGAATAAGAGGTCACCTGGGCCACTGCTGAAAATGCTCCAGAGCACCAGTTGTTTCTTTCAGAGGGTTTATTTTTGTGTTCTCTGTGTCTTAAATCAAATGTGTGCCTGGCCGATTCTGTTCTCCCCTCTCTCGCTTTCCAAAGTGGTAGACATTAAGGGCAGGCAAGGAAACAGAAAAGTCCCTTTGTGGGCAGTATTTTTTTTTGATGGTTCTGTCTAATACTTATGAACTAAGGAGACAGAGAGACAGAAGAGTACCTCTAAAGGGAAAAAATGAATGCAAACCTTCATCTGATAAAAGAAAACTGAAAAAGAATATTATTTTCCTACAATAAATGTAGCTATTCTCTCACAAGGCAATGTGGAATTCCAATGTGGATTGTGGATTTCTTCCAGCTTTCACTGACATAGTTCTTACCACACACCGGGAAGGGTCTTACCTTTCCTGGAAGGGGAGGTGGGCACGTCCTTTCAGACAAAAGTTGTACAAATTCCTGAACCGCAGATTTGCTAAAGTGACTGTACATATTTACATTCATAATTTAAATGGTTAATTCTGGTCAGATAAATGTTGTTAAAATTGAAAATGTTTTATTACATTATATCAAATAAAGTTTATTTGTAGCTGTAATAAAGCAACTAAAATAATGATTTTTAATTGAAGGTCTGATGTCATAAATGTTGCTATATATAGAATGGCAGAAGGGCAAGGTTTATGTATTTCCTAAAATTCTCACAGGTAGTTAAGACAGTTCTGTAATTAATTGCATTTCACTGTGAGGATTCGTCCATTTTGTAACTTTTTTTTTTTTAAGACTGACTGCCTTGATTTGGTTAACGAGCATTTATTTAGACTCTTGCAACATTGGGCACTCTGCACACTGAGGGAACAAAGATGGGTAAAGCAAGTCATTACTTTTAAGGAGTTTGCCATCAGATAGAAGGTACACACTTCTCAGATTGTCATCCTACAGTGCAATAAGTACCACAGTAGTTTGCAGGGAATGGCATGTTTCCTTCCTGTAGTATAGGACAGGGCATTATGGTTATTGGATTGATTAAAGTTTTCAAATGGGTTGGTTTAATAAGTTTATTAGGACCTTAGTTATTCAAATTGGCTCTTTGTCCTGCCTGACTCGAATGCCTGGTTATTGAACTCTCTGTTTCATTCTGGCTACAGGGACTGCATGTTGTACATGTGCTTTACATGTATGACAGCCAAATAAAATGAAAAGGTAGAAATTGAGAGAGACTAAGAAAAATATCAAACAATTTATACTACCTCACATATGGCATAATCTGTGCCAAAGGCCCAGCTTTTTTTTTTTTAACTAAGAATTGGAGGAATCACTCAAATAAACATTTTATGTATATTTTTATGTCTGTTCAGTAAGAATGACTGTTATGACTAATTTCTCTTCTTTAGGTTATCAGCTGTCATCTGGCAAGGCTAAGTATTGGGAAGTGATGCTTGGGAAGTAAAATACTTGTAAGAGATAACTTAATGACTGGTGCCTTCATATTTTGCTTTATTCTGTAAATATTAAGTAGGAGGCACTCATAGTGTTCCTAGATTTTCTGGAAACTATTACATAATTCTTAAAACATTTACCATGGTGTTGTACTTGAGATGCTTGTATGTTTTTGATGATCATGTTTTCGTGTAATTTGATAAAGTTCATTGATTATAGGCATGAGATCAATGTATGAATAGAAAATTCAGATAATCTGTTGAATAGTTTATGCTAACATAATAATTGTATGAATTGACGTCTGGAAATAATGGAAATTTTCCTTTCAGCATCTTGGTTGGTAACAGAGTCCTTACTTTAATGGATAGAAGTGTTTACAAATCCTGCATTTTTTAAACAGTTCATCCTCTTTCCCATCTCAGGACCTTTATACATATTTTCCCCCTGTCTGGAATATTCATCCTGTTCTCAATTATTTATTTAATGTATGTCTTCATCTTTGTTTAGTAATTCTTCAAGGGCATGGACCATGTCTGTTTTCCTTACTAGTATCCCTACCCAGCACCTAGCATTGTGTTTGGATTGTATATAGTAGATATATGATAAATATGTCTTAATTGAAAGGAAGGGAAAAGGAGTGAGGGGTGGAAGGAGAGCTAGAGTTGCTGTGGAACACTTTGTAACTTCCAGATGTGGAAATTGAGGTGTGATCAAGTGACATGTGCAATGAGTGGAGGTGAATTGCTGGAATTAAGCTCTTCTGTGTCAGCTCGGGGCAGGCCCTCCACTACATGGTGCTGCTTTTGCATGAATTTCTCATATCAAGACAGCGACCATTTCTTAATTATCTGCACTGGTAGAGCAGAGCTGTGCATGTGTTATGGCCCATATGTTGAAACTTGTGTATCTACAGCTAGCCAGACGGCCCCTAACAGCACACAAGGAAGCCATTTGGAAACTTTCAGAGGGTCAGTGCAGTTTGAAAGCACTGATAGCAGTGCATATTGTGATGATACTCTTTAGATTCTAAGCAGTGTGGGTCACAAGAGGAAAGCCTTTTTAGATATTATGTGGGAAGCATGCAGACCTTGAGAACCAGCTCAGGGGATCTAGTGCCCAGAAACAGTCTAATTGGATCTGTCTTTAAACTTGCTTTGTCTACACTTTCTCTGAAGAGGAAAAGTAATTTCTTAAGTAGAAATACTTTGCTGTTTAAGCTCCAGCTAGCTAAATAAAATGAACAAAAAGTTGTGCTTATGCAGTATAAGCAGCAAAGATGTGATGTGATCATCAATAAAAATGTAAAAGCAAAATTTACTTAGGCTAATCTGAAGCAGAAGATGCGAGAGGTTGACAATTATCAGAAGTAGACTTGCAGATAACAATTATATTTGGTGTTTGGCATTTTAAAGAAAGCCGAGTTGAAGGAACGAAGACGTCTTGTAACTATGACTCCCTGGACAGACACACATGAAATCTGAGATTCTCTTCAAACTATAAAATTTATGCTTGAACATTCTGAACCAAAGGGAAGACACTGGACAAGAAATATTCAAGACATGAAACCCTAATCCATGATTCTTTCTGTAAGAAATTCATCCATTCATCCATTCACTCATCCATTCAAATAAATATCTGCTAATATGACAGAAGCTGTCTAAACTGTAGAGCCCTGTGGGAAGTAAGATAAAACTGGTCTCCATTCTTATGAAGCTTAAACTCTAGCAAGGAAGCTGAAGCTTACACAATTGATTATAATAAAATGTGATGAGTATTATGATAACACAAGTGCAAGGAGGTTCAGAAAGAAATGCTGACTTCAGTGTACTGATGTAAATATTAAATCTCAGTGGAGGAGAGAAGTGGTAATTCAAAATGGCAGATGGTAGGAAATATCTAGAATTTATCTTTGTTGGATATTATGTAGTATTTTTGGTTACAAATTACCTTTCTTAATAAGATTTTGATTGAGCTATTATTAAAATGCTGTTTATGCTCACAGTGTCACAGGGGGAGAGATGGTGCAGAGCAGTGATGAGAGGCAATAGAAAGTCAGCTGCAAATATAAGTTTGTCATGGATGATTCACAAAGTGGATAAGGCACTCAGTGAGATATAACCATATCCACAGAGAATTTCAGAGCTAGAGCATCCCATGGCTGAGAATCTGTTTAGCAGGTGAGAAAAGGCTGAATTGAGGCTCTATTTTGTCTGAATTTGTTCTCAGGAGTATGGTATGTATAGTGCAGTGCTTTGCAAACAATCTTTGGTGAAGAAATTTTTTAAAAAATCTGTTGCATAGCTATGCATTTGAAAAAAATAAAAATGGATTACAAGAAAAGTGAAGTGAAAAATTCAAAACAGAAGTTCAGTTTTTTCTTATTACATTCAGGAGATATAAAATTACATTTCAGTAAATATGGTCAGAACAAACATAGTGTGGAGAAAAAAAAATCACAAAAACTGGCTATCATCCACAATAGTGGGCAGCTACTCAGGAAAAACCTCTCAGTTCCCTGGCTGAGAAATAACTGTAGCATAATCATTACATGTGTGGGACACTAAGTGTGCAAGGCTTTTCCACAGTATGATATAGGGATATATAGGGAGGGTGAGGACCAGAATGGACAGCTGATTTCTGAGAACTATGCCTGGGCAGTATCAGTGCTGAGACCTGACCTGCACTCATGAATCAGTCTTTAAAGAATTGAACTCTCCCCCTGTGTCTCTGCTCTTTAATGATCTACATTTGAATTGAATCCAGAATGGTGACCTGAAGGTGCTGAAAGGTATTCAATTTTTAGAATTATTATATGAACTAAAATGTTCTTAAATAAGGCAAAGAGCATGCTAAATTTTGACAGTGTTAACAGAGTTTGAAGGTGGGAGGTTGTGATATTACAAATGTTAATATCACTACCTTATATCTTAGATTCAGTGTTTTCTAAACTCCACTGTGAGTAGACCATACCTCGGGAGCATGCTGAACATGATTACTGGGCCCTATTTCCAGAGATTCTGATTCATTAGGTTCTGGGGTGTGGTGGAGGGTAAAGAAGGGATTTTACCAGTCCACCAGGTCATTCTGGTACAGCTTCTCTGGGTTCCACATGTTGAGAACTGCTATTCCCAAACATGCTTGCAAACTGAATCATCTAGCTGATCTGTGCAATTAGTGTGGAAACATATGGTTAATATGAAATAATAATGTTTAACTCACTTATACATGGTTATAGAATCTTATCAGAGAAATACACAGGATACTCTCAATCTGTCTCCTACATATACCCTTTAGTACTCAGCTGCCTACTGATGGTACAAAAATCCAGCAAGCTTGTGGAAGAAAATAATCCACAGATCACCTTAGATAGTTTTCAGTTGTATTTGAACACATATGGATCTTAGGTTTAGGTGCAGACCTAGCTAATTCCTATATTATTGAGTAAGTCCTGGCGTGAACTAATTAATGTTGTCACTAGCACAAAGTCAGCCTGAGAATCACTGTATGACATTTCTGTACCCATGGCAAGTAGTTGATCAAATGTTTGTCAACACAACAAAGATTAGATCTTTGTAAAGATACATGTTGAATATTAGCCTTTGAGAATAAGATGTGGACCTTGGCAAAGGTCCACTCTTTCCCTATGTGTATTAGGGCAGTGGTTACTACAGCTCACACTAAGTGTTTATTACTCATCAGTCATTCTGATAATCCTCACAACAACCTTAAAAGGTTGTTACCTCCCTTTAGGGTGAAGGGACTGAGGCTCAGGGCCTCAAGGACATTAACTTGTAAGTAGCAAAATTGAGTTTTCCATCTAATGTGTGTTTTCCATACATCCTCCCTCCATTCCACAAAGTGCCTCTCGGTGGTTATACTGACTGGTTTTGTGGGCCTGGAAATATGCATCTGAACTCTGAGAGTCTCCAAATACCTCTTCTTACATTAAATACCCTAAGCAGTTGTTTAAATCCCTGATAATTGTGAAGGGAGCAAAAAGTTGTGATTCTTGCTTCCTTCCTATTCTTAGATTCCTCCATTTCTGGTACTTGTGTCTCAATGTTTTCTCTTTGTTGTGTGTTTCCATTGCAGGCTGCCTGTGACAGTTAATTTTATATGTCAGTTTGACTGGATCATGGGATGCTCAG